TTGAGCTTCTCTGTCCTTTATAATCATCTTCATGTATCTTTGTTTTTGGAAAGCAAAGAACAAGAAAAGAAATCTAAACTGGATCATTTGATGGATAATTACTGATCTAGTATATGCATACAAATATGAAAATGGGGGAAATTACCCTGACCACCAGGTTCTTCCATTAGGAAACCAGCACAGAAGACATCTGATCTTCTCCCTAGGACCAACAGAAAATGTCTAAACGCACTCTTTGGTATGGCAGCCAGAGTCCTTCAGAATTAACTCATATGTTTCCATCTCATTTCCCACCAAAAGGAGCTGATTTTTTAATAGACTTTGTGCTCTCTCACAAGTCTCTGCCCTCTGCTTAGAGGATTTCTCGTGAATCCTCTTTATCCTTCAAGACCCAACTTAAATCATGGCCCCATGATTTAAGCCTGTCATGACCGGGAAGTGGAAAATCTTTGGGTTCCCTCACTACTCTGACTGCATCTCTAGTGTAGGCCAGGCCACACGGATTGTCCACGAGGAGTCCTCTTAAGAATTGCATCTTGTTCATCGCTTTTCAGGTTGTGACAAAATACATAGGGCACAAGGCACTTTACAGCTTGAAGTGACTTCCTGGTTAGAAGAGTTGCAAGAGCAACTTGTGGACTCATCTCCATGGTGAACAGAGATTGGCTTTGTGCAATCTTTTCATCAGAAAGACTAGGGCGAGGCCACAGGAGACCTTGAGAAAACCAGAGCAGCCTCTCTTGACTCCAAGTGTGGTGCTCAATGCAGTGGTATGGGCAGTACCTGGGAGCTTGCTCAAATGCAGATTCTCTGGCACCACCAATGGCCTACACAACTGAATCTGCATTTCAAGAAGGTCCCCATGTGATCCGTATGAAGAGTGAAGTCTGAAAATCACGTATCTAAGCTCAAAGGAAGTAAACACAAGCATAACTCTAGGAAGACTGTCTGGCATCTACCTCCTCCTATATTTGATCAATTGGGGGTGGGAGGGCATGAAGAAAGCCTGTAGTAGAGAAAAAGAATAAGCATACTCGTGCCACAGTTTAGGTGACCAACAGCACCTGGTGTAGGGTAATGACCGTGAGAATGCAGAAATTGCAAATATAAATATAGTGACTTAAAATAGAAATATAATATTTAATCCTTAGTTTGCCAATAATTCTGTGCTTGTTTAATCTTTTTGCTACACATTTTAAAATTTTTGTAAAGGTCCCTGACCAGTGTGGCTCAGCGGGTTGGATATCCGCACAGTGAAAGGCTGCAGGCCCAATTCCTGGGCAGGGCACACGCCTGGGTTGCAGGTTCGGTCCCCGCTTGGGGCCCACGCGAGAGGCAACCGGTTGATGTTCCCCTCTCACATCTATGTTCCTCTCCCTCTCTCCCTTCCTTCCTTCCCCTCTCAGTAAAAAAAAATTAATAAATAAATATTATAAAATAAATCAATAGAAATTCTGTAAAGTATTACATTTAAATTGGGCAAAAACCATTCGTTTTAAGTTGCATTTTGAGACTCGGAGATCTGAAAGCAAGCCTGACTATGAAAAACAGGGAGTCCTCTAAACATAGGTGTGATTAGATGCCAGAATGGGACTGAGGTACAACAAGACAGCTACGGGGACACCGAAGCGACAGGCAGTAAGAGGCTGCTCCATGACTGCTGAATCCCTCGGGCAAACCAAGGCTCCTTCCAGCCCCCTGCACCTCACCTCCTCTTCCAGGCAGGCTGCCACTCAGAAGCAGGCCCAGGCAGGGAGTGAAGAGACCGCGGGCTGGCACACCGGGTGTTTTAAGTATTGCAAAGGACTATGCAATCGTTTCTAAATCACAGGGGTGTTTATATTTCAAGTCACTCTAAGAATTCTGTATCTTGTGGGTGAGCTGAAAACCCACATTCTTACAAAAATATTCATCCTAGGATATGGGAAGATTTCCCTCCTGTTCAGTAAAACTCAGGAGCAATGAAAGTAAAGCTGTATTTTTTGATCAAGACTCACGTGTCATGGTTATTCACCATACCAGTCCCATGTACATGTGACCAATGATGATAGGAACATAAAGAAGCATTGCCCGTGATGACAGCACACAGAATCCCTACTCTGTGAACATGCACAGAACATGGCCCTCTTTGGAAAATGTGGGAAATGCCTAATAAAGTATATTCTCTTCTTAAGCAAACCATTATATAACCTGAACCTATTTCCAGCAAATTTGTATGGCTTTAATGGACGGTAAAAACAGCAAAACAAACTAAAACAAAAGCGCACAAACAACAAAACAAACACTGTGTGGTATTTGCAACAGACACTAGGGTTCCATAGCAGAGAACCCACAGGCTTGCACTGGTTTTCCCCTACCTTTTCTGATTTCTGAGGACATACTTTTAAGGGCATCAGCACCAGAAAAATAAAGTAAGAGACATTAAAGTAGCCACTTAATTCGAATCTCCATGGGGTTTTTTATTAAATTTTTTTTGAGGGAGAGACAGAGAGAGAGAGAAAATCAAGTTGTTGTTCCACTTACTTAGGCATTCATTGGTTGCTTATTATATGTGCCCTGACAGGGGATCAAACCCACAACCTTAGTGTATTGGGATGGTGCTCTTACCAACTGAGCTACCTGGCCAAGGCCTTCCAGAGTTCTTTTTAAAATCTCTGCAGCTTCTGCTGAGGTTAAAAGCTCTTGCTAGTTCTTGTTTCGATGTGTCTTTTTACCATACATTTTCCACATATCGCTCCCTTCCCCATGGCTGCTTTTTACTGTTACATGGTTCCAGCTCATGCCACTGCATCTGTGACTCTTATTTATCTGCCAACACCCCTCTAGCCTCCAGATCCCCAAACTTGTCATCTCGTTATCCCTCCACATGGACCGACCGAGCAAAGACATCCAGTTTCGTTATCTTTTCTCTAATATTGTTTATACTTCTACTTTAACTAGGCTGAGCCCAAACATTCAACTCCATTGCAAGGGAACCACTGCTAAAATATCACCTGAATCTTCTCTCACTCTTTCATGTGGTTAAAATTTGTCTCCGGGCTCACTTCCTCCACAGCCGAATTCCCATTTCTCTACTCAGTATGCTCTGTTCTTACCGTAATAACTGATATGCTGCTTCATGCTCTGCCGTCATTCTCCTGTATTCCATCAGCAACTGTCCAGAACTTTCCAGACCATGAGTCTTAGCTTGTGTTACATGTTTAACCTTCTTTTTATCCCTGGATCTCTGCCATACTGCCCGAACAAGTAAACAAAGAGACACAGCATGTTTCTTCTTTTTTCTCCTCCACCCTGGAACCACCTCAACATCTCCTTCCCCTGATCACTAAAACTTTCACCAAGTCTTAAACATCACATCTGACTTCTTCACTTTACTCCATAGGTATTCTTCCTCCCACTTCTACACTTCATTGCACCAAAGAGTTTTGTTTTATTTTCTGTCACCATTGAAATATCATAGGCTGTTCATTCATTGGTCCTCATTTTCTTTGATGTGCTGTATTTTATACTATAAGCCAATTTCCTTGACTTTTCTCCCTTTCCTTTCTTAGCAGCCTTCATCTACCTTAGGGCTGCTCGCTTCTCTCTCTCCCCCTCTCTCTCCCTCCCCTCCCTTTCATCCTCCCCTGCCCTCCTCTCTTCTCCATTTCCCCTTTTCCTTTTTTCCCCTCTCTTTTTTTCTTCCTTACCTTCACTACTTCCTCTTCATGGTTCTGTGCTCACAAATGGGATTTCCTATTCCTTCTCACTTTATTCTTTGCTTTTTATCAATCTTCATTCTGTCTCTATCTGCTATACACCATGAAGAATCAAACTGAAGCCATAATCTGTAGCCTGAATAACTGGGTGAGAAGGCCAAACTGGAGTTCACGCCAAAGCCTGAAGAATCATTCAGGCAATCATCCACACCTGAGTAATACATCGGTGTTCTTCCTTTCGTGCCTCCTTCTCTCATGACATATCCACTGAGTCTGTTTATGAGGTCTCAGTCAAAGCAAACCACACATTACACTGCATGAATTTTTCATACTTTCTGTTCCCCATATCTGCTCACCAGTTCCCATCTCCTAAAGTCTACCCCACCCTACCCTTGATTCTGAGTGCACACACCTGTTGCTCATCTTCCCAGGCCCCTCTCCTTTAACAACTTTTCTAAGCCCTTCTAATGGCTCTGCTATAAATAATCTTGGCTTTCCTTGAATTCCCACCAAACGATGCATTTTATTCTGTATTATAGCTAGCTTCATGCCTTATGTCCCTTTTTTAAAATAAACAACTCAAAAGCAGCAACCAAGTCTAAATTGACTTCCTGTTCTCCACAATGCCTCGTGGTTCCAGGCAGGTACTTGTATCACTTTGTAGTCTCCACCTCAGTTTTCAGAGTTTTTACTAGATAGTATGCAGCTATGCAGAACTCTGGGCTCTATAAAAGAGGTGAGTGGGTAACAAAGCAGAAAGATGTGAATTGTTGTTTTCAAGATCACAGAGAATCCAATTTAAAGGTGGATCTTAGGTTTTTCACAGACTGAAGGCCATCGAGCCTGAAGTTGCTCATTAAAGGGAAAAGAAGGAAATAGCAAGTCACACATTACACAGAAACTATAATATCCACCATTGTCCGTTGTTTTGTAGCCCTGTGGAGCTGGAGCAGTTATTTCCACTGCCAAACTTCCAGCAGTAACACTTGCAAGTTGCCAGTATGGTATGATGCCATCAGTTTTTAAAACTTAGAAAGGCTCATTGATTTTTACTGAGGTTTTTTTTTACACAATCCACTTCCTTTAAGGTCTAGTGAGCCAACCTTGATTGAGAGAAATTACAGAATGAATAAATGTTGTGATATCAACATAGAAATTATTTAGCTTCCTTTCTTCACTTGAATTTCCAAATTTAATTTTTGGTCATCGCCCCCAATGCTCAGGGCCACACATTCTTGAAGTCCCACCCACCTTCCTCCCCTTTATCAGAACATCCGGATACACTCTTGTACCAATGTCGGAGGAGACACATCAATATCCCAATGCAATGAAACAGCTTTCTAATGCAAGACAACCCGGAACAGGACTTTTTATCTGTGTCTCAAGTAAAGCAAATGAATGTCACAATAGATTGGTTATGATAGTGTTTTTATTATAAGACTGGCAGAGTTAGTGACTGTAAATTATAACTCTTGCTGGATTTCTACTTCACATAGTTGTAGTTATGAGCCTACTCTTGGAAGCCAAAACAACTATTTTACAATTAGTGTAGACATGCCTGAACCCAGAAGGGAAATTTCAATTTCAATCATTTCATGTCCCTCGAAGAAAACCCAGTGCTACCAAAAGGCAGGTCAATCCAACTCTTCACACATGAGTTTCTAGCCACTGCCCAAAGCCGAACAAAGAGAAATGGAAATCCTCAACATTTTAGGTAGGCATTCAAACTGCAGTATGAAATAGCAACAATGGGCTGTCCTGCAGTAAAGAAAAACAAACCAACAAAAAAATTAAGCTAGTCACTTTACTGTCGAGATAGAACATGATCCCCATCCTAAAAAACATAATACACGCCCCTGAATTTGGACTGCAAATCTGTCACTTGAACATCTAGTAAATGACCCAATTTGTTTACATGGCCCTGTACCTTTTTATGGCCTTTCTATAAAGAAGTTATTACATCCATTCCCTTTATTTTGTTTAAGAGTGTTTGAACGAGCCCCAGAACCACAAGCCCGTTAAACAAGCTCACCTTACATGGACATGGTCTCATATAATTCACCACTGCCGGGGAAATTTTCAAAACAATGTTTGTAGTTTGGACACACCACACGTTCCCACACACCAAAAATATTTCCTGTGGTGTATGCAGTTTTACATGTTCGGCAAATATATTAAATAAGTCCTGTTTTTTTCCTTTTTTTCCAAGTAAAAGTGTGGCATTTGCACTTCTTCCAGAAGATTTACACCTCTGAGTGTTTTGTTATGGTAAGTTGACCGTTCAGAAACGACTGCAAGCAAAGATTGAAGGAAATGTGAAATCCAGACACCCTAATTGATTTCCTAGGATGTAAATGTTAGTTCTAAAAGGAAACCATTTTAAAGCAGTTAGTTTAATGGGGTGCCCAACTGATGCCTATTAAAAGTTATCGGTACAGATTAAAGATAAATTTTTCTACCATGAAGAAAAAGCAGTTTAAAATAGGCCTACAAAATATTTACCTTCTAATTTTACATTCTCAATCATGCCTATAAGCCTCCAACCTATTAATATTCTCAAGAAAACTAAGATTACAACCACTTCTTCAAGGGTTAGCATTTCTCCGTTAGGTACCTAGACTCTCTCAACACCCAATATCTTGGACAGTTTTGACCTGGAAACCACCTGCTATTTATAGATTGTTGATTTTTCTAGCAATAGTCAGACTGTTTTGTGATACAAAGTAAAGATATGGTTGAGCCCATACATACTACGTATCTATAACATATAAAACTACATGTGAAACTATAAAAGCACAGGTGTGCTATGAAGTCTAGTCTCTTGTATACAGAGGCAATTCATTTTCATGTAGGCCTCCAAAAAATAGAGTGTATTTTCTCTATAAATAAAAGTAAAGCCAGTAACAAAATACATACTTATTTAATAGGAAGCATCCCCCAGTGACTTTTATTACCTATACCACAAACACATTTGCAGCAGAAGCGATCTGCCTCTCATACGCCCCATCTCTGGCTCTGGAGGTGAGAGGATCTATGCTTTTGATATGAGCACTAGCCAATTTTTTTTCTTGTTTCTATAGTGTTCACATATTTGTCCTCTGAATGACCGTGTGAGAGCAAATGTAAGAATGCAAATTAAGGACTCCATCTACTAAGATGGAGTCCTTAATATGTTTCCATAAACCAGTTTGAGAACTCTAGAAGTCACATCCTATGTTCTTAAACCATTGGCACCCTACCTGTCATCGTGTCTTGGGTTGAAAGTATGATAAAGCAGAAATGAACCCAGCAGGTTCCCCTTTCTCCAGACCCAATTAGAAATTTCTAGCATGCAATGGAATATTGCTTTCTTCCTGTTTGTTCACAATTTAACCGCATTTTAAGCAAATGTTCCTTCTTAGTACATTGATTTTAAACATTGCCCTCTGCCATCAAAAAGAAATTATAATGCTCTAATGATTCCCAATTTGCATTTCTAATCACCTCGGACTGTGAATGCCTGTGGTAGTAGGGGAAACAAGATGTGATTTATTCCTCAGTGGGGGGAAAAGGATAAATAATATGGCTCTTTAAAAAATAGATGTCCTTATAAGCACCCAACAAAAAATAACTACTAGAAACTACATGAGAGATAAGTACCACATAAGTCCAACTTCTGTTGTTCAGGGTTTCTGATCTCTGTAGTGACTCAAAAAGCAGGTGCATTGGCCAGCTGGGCATATTTAAGTACAGACACATAGCTCCATCTTGCAAATAATGAAAAGCTCAAAATAGTATCCACTCAGGAACAAGGATTTCCTAGAATGCAAAGAGCATAGCTTCAAAAATGGCAGGACATCTAGACAGCACATCTGCCAAGAGAATCCATTCATTTCCACTCCTTAAATACTGCAAGATATTTCTAGCCTTGTATACAAGGGACCAGCATGAACCTCACTACAGAAATGATGCAGTTACTCAATGAAAAGGAATCAATTTTCCACAAAACTTTAAGTTCATTCCCTTAGAAGTGTTCAGGCTCTTTATTTCTTGCAATGTAATAGCCTCATCACACTAACTCAGGGCACTGCGAGCCGCCTCCTTTTTATCACAACCTCCTGATCCCTCTGCCAGGCTCATTCTACATGCCATCCATTTTGTGAATGAAGTGAAAATAGCTCCTTGTTTAAATAAAGAAGGCAACAGAGAGTAGTGTGGCCACAGGCTTAGCTTATGTGAGCGTAACTGAGGCCGTGCAGCCTGCCCTCCTCACCGGTTCAGAGCTTCCAAACATGGTTAATGACTGGGAGAAAATTCCGACAATAGTCGTTAACTATACGCACCAAAGCAGAACTCTGCTGCTACATGCCTACTTAGAAAATAACTGAAAATGAAGGGTTTTGACTAAAACTGAAACATGAAGGCGCCCTTTTCTTTTATTGTGTTTGTTAACAAGTTCCGCAGGAAGCGTGCCCTACAAAGAGCATCAGAGTCTTTGAATACATACACCCAAGACACTGGCTTCCTGCCTCTACGCATCCTCAGCACTGGACTCTTCTAGTCTCTCACGGGATAGGCCTTTGCATGCCTCCGTTCTTCTGCAGGCTGCTCCTTCTGCCCCAAATGCTTTCCTCTTTTCCCTCTCAGACCCACTTCAAAATAAGTCACCTCCTCTGTGGGAACTTTACCCCTTGCACTTTTCTTTCCCAGCAGAATCGACCATTTAGTCAATCAGTAGAGAATTTCTGAATTGAACTAAAGCAACTGTGTTCCCATAGCACTGGGAGTGCAGAACTAATAGACCATGAGATTAAAAAAACAGCCTCTGCCATCCCTCTTGGACAGAATGTCTCAAGGGCAGAGGCTGAATCTCGTTCTTCGTGGCCCCAGCACCTAGGGCAGAGCTTAGCCAAGAGCAGATGCTCATAAATATTTGCTGAATAAAAAACAGTGTTCTAATAAAACATTAGACCATTTAACTCACGAAGGAGGAGGCACGTGGCTCCGAGTGCTGGCTTGGAGTCAGACCTAAGTCCAAACGTTTACCAGCTGTGGGACCTTGGCTAAGCTCCGGAGCCAGTGAAGCCTTGCTGTTTCTCCTAATAACTCATGGGGAGGTTAGAAAGATAACTGCATGCTGTCTGAAAACACTGAGCATGATGCCACACCTAGCAAGCACTCCTGGAGAGTCATTATTTTAAGCATTATAAAACCAGAGACTCACTAAGAGCTCTTTACACCCATTCAACTCCCCCCAGAGAATACATCCAAATCTCACCTTTTTTGTGTCCTTCCCGGGAGCTGTTACTGTTATCATCAGTATTTAACTAATTATTAATAAGAAAAGGGGAGCAAGGGCTTAGACCTTGAGCTTAATGTATTGGGGAGCATAAGCCTGTTTGCTCCCCCAGGAAGCTATGGGTTCACACTGGAGGGGATGGCAGTATGACTTTGCCAAGGGGCTTAACACTCCTCCCTTCCCCACCCCAGTACTGGATTGTTAGGGAGTGCAGTGGGGGTTCAGTCTACCTACGGGGTATATACCTATCCAAAGCCTGTGAAAGCTTGGGAGGTTGATTGATTCTTTCGAAAAAGTACCTGGTTCATCCCCAAAACCAAGCTTCTGGTTATAACCTCTGGGGAACAGAGAATCTCTCCCTTTCTCTTTCTCTTGTTCTCTCTCTCCCTCTCTCCGGAACCTGCTCACCCCATGCCCTCGCATGTCTTCTCTCCGCAGCCATGTGGCCCTAGTAGCCGCATGGCCAATGGCCACGTGTACTCCACACACAGGATCCAGGAGGGAGCCTGAGTAAACTGATCACAGACTGGAACACAATAAACTAGGCTGGTGCAGGGCTAGACTAAACTTTAATATAGAATGAAAACTCTGGGCAATGGCCTTTATACTGGCCCCACTCATGACAAAATTGGACGTTTTCAGTGGCAGGAAAGACAGAGATGGGACATTGAAAAACCAGGAGGAGAACTCCCTTAATTTTGCATCATTAATGAGGTTCATCACAAAAACCCATCCTATCATGCAGGTCTCAAGAAACGCTTTGCCTCACTACACCACAAAAACCCAACTTCTACCATAACAGCAACACAAATTTGCATCCTTTACTTACCATTAAAGTTCTTTGTGCTGCTCAGGATGTTGGTTTCCCTCAAGAAACCAGAGTCTGCTTTGCAAAACCCAGCATCAACCCAATATACCTTATTTGACTGAGAAATGGCTCAGCTACTATTCAACAGGGGAAAAAATCAAATACAAGAAAAAATCATATTTTCAAAAGAAAACACATTTAAGCCTAACACCAAGAAAGCAAAATTACCGAAACCATCCTGGCAAAGATGGTTCAGTTTACAAACCAGGCAAATGTCCAGGAAGGAAGCTGCTCAGTCACCAGGGACCTGGAAATAACTGCTGGAAAATGGCACAGGTCTCAGAGAGACCTCCTTCACCTTTCTCACACTACACCTTTTGCGGTATAGTGAGAAAAGCATTTCTTGAGACCTGCATGGTAGGATGGGGTTTTGTGATGAACTTCATTAATGATGCAAAATTAAGGGGGTTCTCCTCCTGGTTTTCCAATGTCCCATCTCTGTCTTTCCTGCCACTGTGAAGTCAGATAACTGGTCAGATTGGCTATGCTCAACTTAAAGTGTATGCTCATCAAGTCAAAGACAAAATGAGCTACTGCTACTAAGACATATCACTCTTAATAAACCGGCTTTAATAATAACTGTAATTAGATTAACTACTCTTTATAATTTTAGCTTCTTTGTCCTCAATTTAGGAACAACAAACAAAAAATTTTAAGCTAAATTAATCCTATTTTAGGCAATCTATTCAAGTCCACAGCTATGAATTTATTTCCTGATGCTTTTGGCTTCAAAGAGAAATCTGAATCTCTGTATAGATTATTTTATATAATATAGAGTAAATACAAATGAAGGTCGCTCACTAAATCCATTCAAAAGAATAATAGGCAGGATTTCTGAGCCCTGCTTTCTTACTCGATCCTATGGTATTTTCATCGCTGAGACATCCTACTAAATCAAATGTTCAAAATTATCTTTAAAAAAACTCTGCCTTAAAAAAAAAACCAAAAAACTCTGCCTTATAGAACTATATATTCCAATGTCAACCATCTCCTTTATCATTATCAATTAATAAGCCAAAATTTTAAATAAACATCATTCATCCTTGGACCTTGTACACCTATTTAAAATAATGCCCTAACAAGTAATAGCGAAATTCTAAAGGTAGTAGTAGTTCAAATCATTTGCCAAATTGTCAGACCTCTACCCCAATGGAAGTATTACAATATACATTGGTCTGATTATCTGTTCTATTTAATGAATGTGATCATTTTGAGATTGTTTTCCTTAGTACCCTTGCAAAGAATGTTTCGGAATCAAGGGGTCTCACCTCCTTTCACAATGTGCAAAGCATGTAACCACCTAAAATAATAAAGAAATGCTTTCATAGGAGGCATCAGAATTTTAAAACTGAATTCTTTTTGTCTAATTGGTTCTCACATAAGGAAACTACATCATCACATTAGTAGTTTAACACTGTTGTATTCAACAGTGAGCTTAACAAAGTCACTTCAGCTTTCGAGGCCTCACTTTACACATCGGTGAGGACAGGCTCTTTGGAATCCTTCCGGTCCTAACATTCCACACACCATGTTTGCTGCTGATTTCTAGCCTGTGCAACTTATCTGTGGGCCATAAGCAAAAGATGGGAAGTACACTGACTTCGGAGGCACGTCAGCCATTCAAAATTCTCTGTTCTTAAAAGTCCTCCATCCATTTCATATCAACCCCATTTCCAGAAAATACAGAGGTACAGTCAGCAATGACACTTTTAAGATAATAACTTGCACCAGTTCTGAGAAACCTGCCCATGTACTTGGCATATACTTACCTAAGAATATGGTAAAGTTGACTCTCAAACAATGTGGAGGGGAGAGAGATGTCAATTCACCTACAGTCAAAAATCCAAACATAATTTTAACTCCTCTAAAACTTAATTACAGTGGACTCATTGCTTCTGCAAATTCAAAAAACAACATTTTCAATAATCCACAATAGAGGATTTGGGAATCCTCTATTGCAAATGTGAAAATACAGTTTCTATCAGTGGTTGATTGAATCTGCAGATGCCAAAACCTAGGATATGAAGGGATTATTGTACTTACTGGAAAAAAAAAAGAAAAAGAAGAAAGGAAACCCAGGTATAAGTGGACCCATGCCACTTAAACCCATGTTGTTCAAAAGTCAACTGAATTTAATAAGATGTTAAAGTAGTTCTCTGATTGACATATCACAAGCAAAATGAACAAGTTTATCTTCCTATGAAAAAGGCAGAACAATATAGAAGTTCCAGTACCAAAAAGAGATCTTCAAAAACGGTCTGACACTCTAGTCCACAGGATAGTCTTACTCTAATATGGCACTATATCCAGCACCATTCAGCAAGAATTTATTGGGTGCATACAATGTATGAATGCCTGTTCTGGGTCCTAGAGCTCCCACAGAACGCAAGTCAGACACAGTGCACGGTCTTAGGAACTCACAGTCTATAGAAGTGGTGGTAGAGGTAGGTTCATGATAAGTAACACCAAGAAGAATATCGAAGAATGGCACATGCTGTGTGGTTAATTAACCTTGGTGTGATAGTGAGGGCTGGCTAATCTAGACTTGGTCCGTAAAAAAGCTCTTTCTGAAAAGGAGATTCATCTAATCTAGATGACAGGGAGGTGCTATCCATGCGGAAGCAGCTGATCAGTGTTGCCCAGGG